TGCTCCTGTTCCCGTTAGTTCTCGCCCGAGCCAACGGCTCAACGTTGTCCCTATGGCTTTGCAAATTATCCTATCAGTAAGGTCCAGGCTGAAGCATCAATCGAAAATACTCATTCGAAACTGCGTACGGGTATGTTGGCTGCTCAAAAACTTGCGTCTGGGCCTTTGCTACAGTATACCCACCTAACTTGCCCATTCATACATATCGTAAAAGTTAGTAAAAAAAGTTTAGTAGGGAAATTCCTCTCTTCTCTTCGGTGTCGCTGCTAATGAAATAGAAAAGCTCAATAAGCCAGAGCCCAAAGCTGAACCAATTCGCATGAGCCCACTCGAACCGTCTCTCTACCAATGGAAGAAGTATTAGTCATGATCGGAAATGGGAGGCAGATGAAAGGGCTCTCAAGTTTTTCGTTTTTCCGAAAATATTCTTCATGTTTTTTCTTTCTAAATCCCCCACGCTCCTATTTCGGACACATTCCTTTCCAATCCTTCTTTGCTCCATTCTCCTTGAAAATGGAATGCTACGATAGAACCTTTTTCATCCCATCTTTTTGCCTGATCGATAATTTGCATCAGCCATTATCGCTTCGGAATTTGTGATAAATCTTGAATGCTTGAGTTACGGTAACCAGTGATTACTGATTCAGAAGAGGCACCCATCCAGAGGCGAAGCTCGTATGAGTATCTTCAAGTGTTCAAATTTGTGCTTCAACAAACTACACGAGATCACCGACAAAACTACCGCCTCCAACGGCAAGCCGGTCGAAATAAACAACAACGAGTGGGTATTTACCTTCGATCTGTTTGAGTTTTTTAAATCTCGCTGGATGCGCCCCTGCGTTCAACTTACATTCGGGATCGCAAAGCCGTTTCATTGCGTATATGGCTTATACAATGATTCACAATGGCCAGCTAATGCTCGAATCAGTGCTATCTATGACAAGTCCGGCACCACATAGCCGATGTCAGAAGAATGAATGCTTGAATCGTTCAGACGGCTATCGCTCCGGAACCCATCTATGGACTGTGTACGTGTGATCGTGCGCCGATTGCCTCTACGCCACATCTAGTCAGATGGTAGAAGCCAGAAAATCAAATATTTGGCCACAGCCGTCAACTTTCGCTCAAGGGAACCAAGCTGCTCCAGGCGTGCAATCCTTTCATTGGCTGTGGCTACTTCTTTTTCTATATTTGCGGAGGATCTGACAATGAGACAGACACCCCAAATCATCGCGCTCATAAACCTCTTGACGTCTTACACTTCAACAATATAAGAATGAAGGTTTCAGCATGAGCATCTGACTTATTTCCGAGTCACCGATGACAGCGGCATGAAACGCCCCTATACCCTTCCTAGAAATAAAAAATAACTCACCAACCCACTGGCTTGACCCGTACCAGTAAACTTTGAGCTAAAATATGTACATATTCTTTGAACAATTCGTAGTCAAAAAAGTGGAACATGTTGATCCACTAAAGAGCTCGTGGAGTGCGCTACACACTGCCCACTTGTCGTATCGGGTGCCCATGGTTGAAACAATCGAGCGGTTACAACAAGCGCAGAAGCTTTTTTGCAGGGTGATGGGGAGCTATGTCTTAATTGCCCCGCCGGAACCCATAATATTACAAAGGGCCCCTAAACATGGTTCAATTGAGCTCGCTCTCTTCCAAACTGAAATGTAAGTCAGAAAACAGAAGGACAATATTAATGGGCAGTAAACTTGCAAAATATATATAGTAGAGCTGTGCCTGATCTCCTCCTTGCGCGCCTGCCTTGACTAGCTGTCTCGTTGTGGGCCATCTCCTTGCTGTTTTTTTTCGGAGACCAAGTATTTTGGTGTTGTTAAATTCCGTTTTTTTCCTTTGGAATACCTTCCCACTTACGATTCACATTCCAGGCCGTTAGCGTTTTGAATGCGCATTCAGCCATTACAATAGAGAAGGAAAGTTTTAGCTCTCCTGGATGGGTATTAATCCAGGATTCGAGCCCGTGCGTGCAGCACTGTGCTACCACTTCTTACTACACAGCCTCCACTCTTTTTTTTAAGCCAGTAGCCGTAAGGAAATAATTAAAGGTGAAGGCGGCATGGGGATAATGCTCTATCATAGCGCGGAATAACGCCCTATCATAGCCTTCAGTGTCTTATATTACGATTTCAGTCTACTTTTGTCAAAAATACTTTGCTGCTGCGTTTAACACTATTACGGTTCGTTGCATAGAATTTTATGAATGAGCGTTTGAAAGCCCAAAATGTGCTTTTGAGATTACGAGGCACCTGATTAAGACGCTTCAGGAGCAAAGAGTGGTGAGGTGTCGTGAAGATGAACCACAGATCAGGAGAGCTCGTCTCTCATTCTCAGGTCACTTCCCGTGAAAGGAACTCAACTTACATACAAAAATTTATCTCCCAGGTTTGCCGAGGCATGCCATCTTTCACCCTCAACCCTCTCCATATACAAATGACATCTCATATACAACAGACATCTTCAGACCTATCAGAACTCTCTTTCACGATCTTTGCCGATATTAATCTTATACTCAAATCAGGTTACAGAGCCCAGGATAGCAGTGACTCACTGAAATGCTACCGCTTTTCGTGTCTATGAAAGTGCTTTCCAAATTCGGCTTTCATTTTTCAGCTTCGATGATTTGCACTGTTTCATTCCGATATTATTCCTTCATCAAAACTCCAGAAGGGTGAACATTAGAGCGTTAGAATGACAGAGCTCTCATTCTACCTCGTGTTGACAAATGCCTTTGTTCTTCTTCCCATTTCTAACCATAAGCCTCCTTTGACTCTCTCCTCGATTCTTCTCTTGCCTTATTGAGATTTCTTTCGATGGCCACCTCATGATGTGTCTAGTTTTTGTAGTTAGCGTATCAACCAGCAGATCGTACTATCATTCACGAATATTTAAATTCATTACTTACTTACCTTAGTAGAGGTTTTCTCCCATGAAGATCACTCCTTTCAAGAGCTCTCTACTTCTTTCAGGAAGCTCCACAACAGACTCGAATTTGAGCTCCTTTGAGGTTTTCTGACGAAACATCTGATGTAATCTCAGCCACACTTGTCGTTTTTGCATTTCCTGGATCACTTTGTATGCTGATTCCGCATGTAGGGCTTGCCTACAACTTCAATAAGATGTCTTCTCGATCTCTCGGCCTGATTGGTATGGGTTGAAAAACAATTTAGTTGATGTGGGTACCGATATTGGACCCCAATTCCATGGCACTTCGCCATGACTCAAGATTAAACTTAATCGTTTGGACTTTTGACAAGTTTTCAATGTTCTTCTCATGAAGTGGCTGCCATAAAAGGATGTCCGGAAAATCGTACGGTTGCTGTGGTAGCAGCATTTCGACGAAGAATGAAGTGATGATGCATTCATGAGGGTCCCTTCTGAACCATCGTGGTGTCGAACCTTGAGAACTCTACGCAGTGTTTGGCTTTGTCTTAACACCACGGAGTGCTTAATGGCTTATTGTCCCGTGCTAGGTCTCTTTGCTAGTTGTCTTACCGTTAGTAAGTTGTCTTGTTGCGCGAGGTGCCGTTGGGAAATAACGCTCACCTCAATGCTCAATAGACCTTTTTGGTGACATACTCTCGATAGGAAGCTTGGAATGATATGGACCGAAAATTCGGTGATTTCAGTGTGGTCATCTTGCTTCCAGTGCTTATGAGACTTTCTTATTCTGCGATCTTTGTTGGTGGGAACTATGAAGGGGATCTGACCTGCCCTCTTGCCGAGGGCCACAGTGCAGCCACAATTTAGTTTGTTGGCGCCCACAATAAGTGTCCACCAGCTGTTCGGAATCGTCGTAATTCCCTGGAGTACGTAGTATCTATTTCGCCCGGACAACTTCTCTCAACCTTGATGTTCTCGTAGTGATCGAGAGACCAACAGTGGCGAATGGGATGCTTCGAGACTCAAAAAAGCTGGAATTGCTAGCGATACTAATCACCTACACAGCCCCCCCCCCCTCCATCGCTCATTGTCCATCTTACCGTCAGTCCCACTCGTTCTTTCTTTTCCGAATTGTGGCCATCCATCTAGCAGGTTACCCCTTCAACCTCTCTCTCAAGCGCTCGAATCGAACGAGCTTTGCTACGGACGAGATTCCCCACCAGTCAATTGCAAATGGCTCCGCCCCTTTCGCAAAGGCTGCATGGAGGTTCGCAGCCGAACACGCGGCCAATCAATTTGATGGTTGGCCGTTCCCATAGATGTGCGCTTCTTCGTCGTCGTCGTGGTGCTGATTCTTCTTGTGAGTCTTTGTTTCCTTTGCTGCCAGTCCGATTCGAGTTCCCTCGTTCACTTATGGCTGTGTTGGATCCCCATAATGAACTTCTGTTACGAAGTTTGTCAACGTCACAACCCGTTAGAGTTTCAAGTGTTAAATGGTGAGGGTCAGTGGGGTAGTGGTCATGTTTGGGTTCCTAGTTTTAATAAGGGTGTCTCTTTTCCCATGTATTTCATTGCCCAAATTCGCAACTGTTTTGAGAGCAGGTGAAGGGATGTTGCTCTTGCCCATAGAACTAAGGATTGGGCTGTACGGGGGTGTGCGGATGCGTTAGAATAAGTCCCTTGGTTTCCATGTTAGTTCATATGTGGCGTAAGTTTGTTAGCTCAAAGGGGATCGTCGAAACTTCTGAATAAAGGAATCACATTTGTTTAAGTCATTGAGACGTAGTAGTTAGAGGTTGCTGTTGTACTTTAAGTTCACTTCATGGTTTCTGATATCGTTTGCAATGATTTCCCTCATTCTTGTCCCTCAATAGTGGGTACTGTGGTCTCAGAACCGAGATTTTTGAAATGGTCAGCTAGTGTCGTCTTTGTTCACACTGCCGGAGCCAATTCGTTGTCAGTGGGTGGAATAATTCCGAATGAATTCATGACGTTGTGTCGATGTCAATCTAAAGTGCCCATTTCGCCCGGTTACGCTCCTTTCTAATCTGTATGTTTTTGATAGAATTTGCGTTTGACGCCGTTCGGCAATGAGTCGATGGTCGGTGGGCTCTGCACCAGGGAGGTATGTCAGTTGTCTATTTGCAGTGGAATAGGTGTGAATTCATAGCCACTTATTCTTCGCACATTTCTTGACTCTCCACTTTATAGTCTTCTTCGGAACAGTCATTTTCCATGTCCCTGTTGGTTCTTTTTATGACTTTTCCTTCTATATTACGGTAGTTCCTAAAGTATTTTTATGAATTCACACAAAATGTATACTATTCGGGCTGAAATGTCATACTCTGTGCAAGTTTTGCACCTTGTGGAGTTATAGCGTGAAACCGGTGTACGGTGCTCGTTATCCTCCTCTACAACACGATGTACCTTGTGGAAGTCCTAGCAAGGATTTAGCAAAGCAGTCCAAATTCCAAGATTACGAGAACAGGTTCGTCTTGTCACCAGCAAAGTGCCAATTTTCGATGTTTTGAATAGTAGAAATCTTCAAAAGCTACTTTAAGCCAGTCCTGATTGTGTGTACGTTGCAGTGTGTCGGATGCATGGGACACTCGTGTCTTAGTTGATGATGCTCTCGCGTCCGCATCAGCAGCCCGAGTACTTGCAGCTCATGCTGCTGGAAAGACAAGGGAGGAGGTGAGCATTGTTCTTCTGAATTACCTATTTTTGATCCATGGGCCATCATTGTGCTGTTATAATTGCTCTAACGGTAAATTCCTTCGAAATTTTTCGTGCAATATTCAAAATCTCTTATCACGTGTTGCAAGTAATTATGGGAGTGCATTAGTTATCTGGAATAGTTTTTTTTTTTAATTTACTTCACACAAAGTTTCTTTCGTCACTATAGAAGTATTCCTGTGACATTCTAGTCTAAACAGTAGCAAATTGGTCGCATAGCGTTGAGTAACCACTCCGGCAAGTCCGACATCAACAACACCCAAAAGAGGCTGATTGACTTGGGAACCCATTAGGTCGGCGTGATCGAACATTATTACCACTCGCTGCTACTTCAACACGAAAGTTTCGCCGCGAGTGATGAAGAGATAGCTGCGATATATTTATGCAAACATTCTAATTCATGAATCCATAACAAATGTGATTAAAGTATTCATATTTCATTAGGTTCAAAAAAGTTTTCCTTCGGTAATGACAAAAACAACTTCTACAACAATTAGTAGTGCAAAATTGATCGTCTCCAATCATCTAAATGATATGAAAGGCAGGACGAAGTCTGCGAAAACTTTTTTTAGAAGTGAAGTGCGGCTAACGTTAACACCTTATATCCAACATTTACATATTTTGACTTGATGTTTTGTTAAGCGCTATTATATATCGCCGCAGTAAGCGATCCGAAAGTATCGCAAGGATAGCTATTTGTGAGCAAAACTTCGGCTTTGGAGTCGAACCCGTCCTTTGTCAATCGGACGAGGATCCGTACTCGTGCTTTCCGGGCAAGGAAAAAGCCTGCCATAAAAGGCAGACCGAAAGCCTGGAAAGCACAAATACGGGTTGGATTCCGTCCGAGGCCGAAGTTTCACATTTACATAATTCATGTAGCGCTCATTCTCCTCACAACGACTCAGTTTTCTTGTCGGTTTTTCTTTTGTAATAAGCCTATCGTATGACAACAAAAGCTGAGGCTTCATGCTTGTTCGGTCGCGATACGCTCTCTCGAGCCTCTCGAGTCGAGCAAAATAATTCCATGTCTAAGAGCTCTACAACTTGTGTTCTTCCGATTTAATGGGCTCTTTCGATTTGTATCTGTGCATCCCTTGTAATCTTGCCATCAAAACCAACTGAAACAGTGTTCACGGCATCTGTTTAACTCCATAGGTAGGGCACCATGATGTTCATAAGGTTCGAATATAACGGGATTTCCTCTAATTTAGGTGATAATGCCTCCTGTTAACCCCGCCCCAACTAAAAATGGGCGCGTTCAAGCACTACAACGACTTGCTATACAAAAAGGTACGTTTGCGATTTGAATAGTTCATCATTATGTTATAATTTTGTTAATTCTAGTGGTAGAAGATACGCACAAATTTCGAATTAATGACAAGTGTTGATTTCCGCTAAAACGAAAATTCATATCTCAAGCACATGACTTGTCCTAATTTCCTTTAGATCCATTGCCTTCCACAATTTGCAATGCTCCTGTACAAAATCCAAATCCTATCTATCCAAAGCTGCCAGAGATTTCCGGTGATCAAGTTCGAATAACAGTAGCTGCGGTGAACGGAACACAGCCAGGTCGGTTTTTGGTGGATGGAATTCATCTGCTAAGAGTTCAGATACAAAGAACATTAACGTCGTGCAAAATTTGAATGGCATAACTAATGTGGATGTTTCTAATTTTTCACAATCGTGTTTTTTTAATACGAGAGGTCCCTCAACTAAGGTTTCAACCATGCCAGTAAGAACTCAAATTAAGTCGCAGTTTTTTAGTAATAGAGTTATGTCAAGCTTTAATTCTTTCTAGGTCGGAATCTCATTCCTTCTAGTTATAGAACTTTTAAGAAGTCTATTAATAAATTGATTTGTTGTGGTTAAGTTTAGTTTAGAAATGGTCAATATTGTCACCTCTCATTTCACATGCTTAGAGCATGTCCGTTAATAATAATAACAATAATAATAACGGTTCTCTGAAATACTGTTGGCTTGTTAAGGTGGTGAGCGTGATCAGACGCGATTCGAACGTCTTCGTCGTTTGTTTTCCACTGGAAAGTCGAATGGGAGAAACTCTCCTCCAGCAGATATTGACATGGAAAAGTTGAGAAAGGATTGCTGGATGGGAATTCCTCACAAACTGCGTCCTCATGCATGGAGATTGCTTTCGGTAGGGCTCTCGCTTTGAGGTTGTTCATGGTTTATGGAATTAGGATTCTTTTTAGCATTTTATATTGCTTGATATCCACATTGGAAGATAGTTCAGTCTTTTGTTTTGTGCGACTCCTTATTCAAATGACTTAGATGCGCGATTGCAGTGCAACACTAGTTATTTAATATCCATTTTTTTCTCTTTCGTTTCTATGGTAATTTCTACAGGCTTCTCTTTTTCGTCTTGCCTTTCTTCGTCTTTTTTTTTTGCTCTTTTGACTTTGATCGACTTATTTTGGTATTCAGGGATACCTCCCTACCAATTATGAACGGCGGGAAGCTACACTGGCTAGTAAAAGGGAGCAATACTGGCATTATGTGGAACAGTACTTCCATTTAAGATTTGATGATCAAAATAATGACACATTCAGACAGGTAAGTTCTAGAATGACTAACAACTTCTGTAATGTGGTTATTATCAACCTTTTTAATCCTTTAGATCCACATCGACATACCAAGAATGTGTCCTCTAATTCCCCTGTTCCAGCAGAAGTTGGTGCAAGAGGTACTGGAATGTTCCATCATTGCTTTGGTTTCAGCTACCCAAGAAATGCTAATAAAATTGAGTTTTCCAGATGTTTGAAAGAATATTGTACATTTGGGCTATTCGACACCCTGGTAGTGGCTATGTGCAAGGAATTAATGATCTAGTCACACCATTTTTCGTGGTGTTCATATCCGAGTTCATTCCACAGGACGTCGAAGTGGGCGTCTTTTTCAGTTTTTGATCCTTGTACGCCATATACGTACCCGAGTTCCTCTTTTTTTACTTTATGTACTTTTGATGTTCATAGATGGTTTTACTTTAGAGTTGAGGCAATTTCGTTACGGTGTTCCATATGATTTTTTTAAGGTGGGGTCGTTTGATGTTTCTCAACTTACGCGTGAACAGTGTGAATTGGTCGAAGCAGACTCGTTCTGGTGTGCTTCAGCGTTACTTGACTCGATTCACGATAATTACACATTCGCTCAGCCAGGTATCCAGCGGAAGGTTCTACAGCTCAAACATCTGATGAGTCGAGTTGATCGTGNTCTAGTCACACCATTTTTCGTGGTGTTCATATCCGAGTTCATTCCACAGGACGTCGAAGTGGGCATCTTTTTCGGTTTTTGATCCTTGTACGCCATATACGTACCCGAGTTCCTCTTTTTTTACTTTATGTACTTTTGATGTTCATAGATGGTTTTACTTTAGAGTTGAGGCAATTTCGTTACGGTGTTCCATATGATTTTTTTNGTTGATCGTGAGTTGTCATTTCACAGAAAGATTTAGATGTTATATGATAATTCTGGGATGTGGAGCTTTCAGGGCCTCTACATCTACATTTGGAATCAAATGGAATAGAATACCTACAGTTCTCTTTTCGATGGATGAATAATTTGCTAATGCGGGAAATCCCTCTTCGGGCTACAATCCGGCTTTGGGATACGTACCTGGTATGGTTTTGAGTGAGCTCTCTTTTGATTCTATGAAAATATATAACTGCTATATTACTATATTATGCTTATCATTGTTTCTAAGTTCTCAAGCTTTCTTCAGAGCGAACCCGATGGATTCTCACAGTTCCACAGCTATGTTTGTGCTGCGTTCCTTCGAACATGGTCGCGACAACTGCAAGCAGAACGTGATTTTCAGGTTGGGCATGAATTCCATACACTTATAAGTCTTTGCGTGCGCTTTTGAAACTAAAACTTGCTATGGAATGAATTACAAGTTTTGCATTTTCACTTATTGCAGGGGATCATGATCCTACTCCAGAATTTACCAACTCAGTGCTGGGGAGATCGAGAAATATGCGAATTGACGGCGGACGCTTTCTCCCTGATGTCCGTTTTCGACGGAGCGAGGCGGCACCTTTCTAGTCCTGCGGAGCTGTAGATGTAAGAAAATACCGTCACATTCTTGGATGCGAATTGAGTGGCACTACATCGAGCTTGTGAGCGTAAACTCCCTACTGTCCTCAAACGCGTGGCCTTGATTTCTGCTGTTTTTACGAGTTCTCACATTCGATACTACTAGATGAAAGAGACCTCGCATCTACCTGCACCACAAAAACCTGCATTACCGCAGTGCCTAAGCGCCTTTTATCCTTTCCCAGTGCACATCGTTAGATTCTTACTTGGTATAACTTGCATCTAATCATCTGTATTCGGCAAATCTGACTGTGATTTCATTTGTAGTTGTAGTAATATTCAGCTAATGTCGTACTCATTCATACATATTCAGAGGCAGCAGTTAAAAAGGAACTGGGGCTTAGATTGTATGCCTTTGTTGTCTTTTGAGTTGTAGCCATTAAATTGTATATTTCTGGGATTGTATTCTATTGACTGTTCTATTGACTGAGGAGAAAGTGAAGATCTTGCTAATTGAGCCCTCTTTGTTTCTGCGAAAAATTTGCATGCCATCTGTATAGACGTTGTGTAGTTTGGATGGGAGTTTCGATGTTCTTTCATGTTCATATTGCTCTGCATAACGTCGCATAATCTTTATTAGTTTCTGTCAATTACACGCTTTGGATCCACATGTTGCTGAATTTTTGAACAATCAAACCGCTTCACTCGTAATACAAGTGGCAGTTCATGGGAAAGGTATTGAGGGCAATCCGGGGCTCAGAGGTCCTCATTGTAACAGGATTCGATCACCAGCTTATGTGCCTGAAACAAAACTCATGGTGACGGAATGACAGTGGTTATACTGTCTCAATGGAATTTTCTAGGGGCTACGTGATCAAGTTTCCCTAAAAATAAATTTCCGAAACATCGAAATCGGCGTATTATCTCGATTTCCGCTAATTAAAAGTTTACATTCCATTGGCTGCTTTCATAGTCCACGATTGGGCCCGCGAGCGAGCGATCGAGCGATTGGGGCGGAGCTTGCCCGCGGTATGGATCAAGGTTCAGTTGTAAACAAGGGGCAAGTTCCGCCCCAATCGCTCGATCGCTCGCAGGCCAGATCGTGGACCATGAAAGCAGCCATTGCCTCTGTAATGGTAGGGTTAACTCACTTTTTAACACGCGTGTCAGTGCAACCGATTGGAGTCTTTTCGTCTGTGTCTCCCACTCTGACGTAGGAATGCAGTTTGGGACGATGTTCGACGAGTCGTCGGCTGTATGGCGAATGCGGTAAGGGTTCCAATTTTCCATCGCGATTTTTCCACATCCGATCGTCTTCAGGTTCGACTGAAACATTTCCTTTGAGAGTTAGGAATATACGTCAAGCTGCCATGGATACAATGACGATAAATGGGAGCCTTCAGTCAAAGGCTCTGACGCGTTGCAGTGAGGCTGGGGCTCATGGCAACTATTCATGAGCTGTAGCTCCTGTATGCTGCATGCATTCAGACGGAATACTGTAACAGGGCCTTCGACTTAATTTGATTATGCCTTCATCAGCTGAAACGACTAAAAGAAGTGAAGGCTCCCCATTAAGGCATTTGATGACATCCGTTTCCATGATTGTATCAATCATGGATGGAAGACATTTAGTTGAAACCCCATTTCTGCTTTCGAGCGGTTGACGCTCGAATCAGACTCCGCTACAGCCTGGGCATATGTCATGGCGATAGTCGAAGTAAGTGCTCAAGCTAATTGGTCAAAAATGCGAAAGATATCGAATAAACATTGAAGAGCCTGCAATCTGAGACAGCCTTGGCCAGAATGCATCTAACAAATGTGGGAAGAGGTCTTTCCAGGGCTTCCGAGCAGCAACTAACTGCTGGAATCTCCTATTTTTTACCTTGACCGTTTCCATCTTCTAATTCCAACTTAATTTTATTCCCCATGCTTTGTTCCGATCATGTTCTCACGGGATCCGTGGGTGATAAAGTCATGGTACAAGTCAGATCTTAGAGTCCCGTGAACGTGTGATACAGTAACACCCAACCCGTGGGACTCATGAGCCTCGCCCAAAGTACCTTTTCGTTGCGTGGTATACGTGACGAGTGATTGGAAACACTCGAGTGTGTTTGGGGAGACTCTATAACATATTCACAGGATTTTAAGATCTGTTGTATGGGCAGGCAGCTGATCAGCCACATTTTTCGTCAGGTTCAGATTAAAATGGTGGGAATGAATGTACTGGGTTTGGGAAATAACTGGGACGAGGTGGAGTGGTTCCTGACCATTCCAACCGCTTTTTGAGCGCCGTTGCGTTGATTCCTGCCTCATCATTCGCCGCACTAACACCCCTTCGATGGCCAACTTGTTCTTCTACTGAGGTGGTCGTTTTCTGCTCCAAGAAC